TCTTATGTGGTGCCTCTAATAATATGTGGAAATATTTGAAAGATTTTTAACATTTTTTTTTGTAAACATGAAAACAAGTAGCATCCCTTATTCATTCTAAAAATAAGCTAAATCTAGTATGCCACAGATTTGGTGTGCAATCAAATTAATCAACATTATTTTTGGATTAAAAAGAGTCAATCTCATTAACATTCAACTGGTTGGCAGGTCATAAATAAGCCAGCTAAACATATGAAGTGACTGTTGAACAAAACTACAACAATGTTTCAGGAGAGGGTAGCAACAAACTCATAACTCATCTCACAGACCAATTTCCTCAAACAACTTGTAACATTTATTTCCTTCCTATGTTATGTATATAAGGGTTAAATGGGCTTTACACCAAATTAGTAAAATTGAGGCTATTACAGCATCTACAAAAGAAAAGTGATAAAAAGAATAAGGTCACTCCATCATTATGTATATGTATCATGAATTATTTGAATATATATACATACTTACATATATTTACAAACAAACACACACAAACAAACAAAACACACATACATAAACACAAACACAAACACAGAAAGACACACACACACACACACACACACACACACACACACACACACACACACACACACACACACACACACACACACACACACCACACACACACAAACACACACACACACAACACACACACACCACACACACACACACATACACACACACACACTCATATATATCTTCATAATCATCAATGGGAGGGCTGCATGAAACTTTCCTTTCCATAGTTTAGTTCTAAATCAAGGGTGCAATATTCACATATGCTTAACATTAATGCCCATTTCATGTTAATACTTTTTGCTTGTAATAGTTCATTTGAGTAATTTCTTAGTTGGTTACCATATGGTGTTGCAAAGAGCTTGGAGTGCATTTCTCCTGTAAAATCTGAGTGGTTCCTTGTGGCTTTCTAGAAACTTTCTCAAGATTTCAGTCTGTCAAATCTGTGTTAGCATGTAGAGTGAACCTTGAATATGTTAGTCCATGCATATGGCCTTTTCTGCTTTGGCTAGAGCTTCTCTTCTTTCTGGTGGAGGTGCAATATTTGAAAGTTTAAGATGGCTGCTTACATGAGTTGGTGAGTACATATGACAACTTTGTGAATCTTATTTAGCTCATTACCGACGGGATAATCCAGAATAATGCTCAGCATTCTGCTGTGGAGTATTGATATACTGTTGCAATGAGCATCTGCGGCAATGCTTCTCATTTGACATTAGCTATCTTTTTCATCGAGTCAAAGGCATCAGTATGAATTTCATTTATTCAATTGCTGTGAATGATTTTGCTTGTGTTGCAATGCAGATTTCAGGTGAATTGTCATATTGTGTATTGTGGTTGATCATTAGTAGAAATATTAAATAAAATCTAAACTAGAACTGATCCTTGTACTAGTTCCTTGTACTAGTTCACTCTTTTAAGATCTCATCTGCTTCTCCTTCTGTCCATTTCTACATTTCTTGTTTTGTAATTCTTTTTACAATCTGTTGTTAACTATATTGTAAGCTATTTTCAGGTGAACAAAGACAGCTTCATTGGCATGTCAATTCTCACAACCTTCCTCCATGAACTATGTAAGGTTGAGTAGTTGACACATTGAAGCTTGAGCTGTTCATTCATTAAGAGAAATGAAATTTGTGGGTTGTGCAATATAATATGATAAATAGCAGAGTCTTTGGCTTTAATGGTGAACTTGCTTGTTACTGGTATTCAAAAATTTGGAGGTTCTCAGGCAGTTGTTATGGAAATCCAGTAGCTATGTAAGATCTCTCTAGTCCTAGATGGTTGAGAATTTCACTGGGGATACTGTCAATCCCTGAAGTCGTGTTGACTTTATGGTCTTAACTCTTCTGCAGTTCATCTAGTATAAAAGGTACTATAGTAATTCCAGTGTTAAGTTTGTAAGCACATTTAAGCTGATCTCTCATTTCTTTTGGCTTAGTGGTTACTGACCCTATAAAATATGATGATAGAGCCAATATTCTCTGTGATAGTCAGTCATCAGAGGTTGGTTTACAAACTGTTAGAAAGCCTTCTTGTCAGATATGTTGTAAGAAATCCACTACCATATTTCTGATGAGTTAAAATGCTTTTTACAGAATAATCTGGTTTATTCCTTACATATCTCACATGTTTCATTTGTGAGTCCTTGGAGTATCTAATGAATCATCCTGTATTTTGGGGTTCTGTATATGAAGTTCTTGATGTACTGGGATGATATTCAGATGAATAGATACAAGTGTAAATATAAGCATACTTTTCATTTTTGTTCTCTTTTTTTATATCTTCCCTCCTCTTTTTCTGTTTTCTTCCTCTTTTCTTTTTCTTATTCAATTTCTTATATGTTTCCTTTTCTTTGCCTTTTCTTTTTTTTCTCTTGTTACTTCCTTCATTTCCTTTCTTCTATGAAATCAACTGCATATGGTTTTACGAAAAATTATACTTCTTTATAAATACATATAAAAAACTTTTGTGAAAAATAAACAATACAATTCATTTACAATTGCAAACATCTGAGGCACTAAAAGAAATGTCTTGCCTCACAATCCTTTTCCCTCTATATCTCACATGTTTCACTAATAATGATATCCAAGATATTTGAAAATTCTAAATCAAATAGTGTGTATGTACATCTAATCAGCATTTCTTTCTATTTGTGATTATTTACAGCTAGTCTTGTACAAGTCAGCAGCAACGCTCTTTAGCCAACATGACTGTGCAATGACTGAAATGGATTATAGCTAGTTTTAATAATGAGTTGTGATTGATAACATGTTAGGAAACTAACATCATGCATATAGCTGAGAAAATTAATATAATACCAAACTGCCAGATGGAGTCTGCAGAAGTAATAAAGCATTTAAAAATTCATATATTTCTCAAAAAATAACGTTTGTAGTATTAAAAAGCATCAAAATGTTATAATGCACAGCATAAAATACAAAAACACAGATCATTAGGATGATAATAATTTGACTTAATATCCAAACATCATAAACTATTTTTCTAATATGCCTTTGATGTACTCACATGGCCAACATCAAACAAGCATAATAATAAACCTACTCAAAATAAAAAAAATAATGAAATATACATGATCACACTTACCCTGTTGTTCTGGATAGCTACTCTAGGGCATAAAAAGGCTACAACATCCATCTGGAGCTGGAAGAAGGCTGTAGTCAATTCACATGTTGTACACTCCCTCTCTCCATCACAGGTGTGTGGGGACATGCAGGGGGCATTCAACATGTCTTTCAACAGCTTAGAAACCACTTTACTATCAGCGCCATCTACACCTTGGTGTTTCTCAATTTCCTGTACTTCCATCTGAAATATTAAAAATTAGGTTTACACACAAAAAAGAAAAAGAAAAATAACATATACATGCAAACATACATACATAAGCCTACAGACATACATATAATATATAAATACACATAATATATAATAATATATAAATACATTATATATATATATTAGATATATATATATAATATATATATAGTATATTATATATATAATAATATATACCTATAATATATAATATAATATATTATATAATATTATATCTATATATATATATATATATATATAATATATAATATATATATATATATAATATATATATATACTATATATATATATATAGATAGATAGATAGATAGATAGATATATAGATAGATAGATATAGATAGGATAGATAGATAGATAGATAGATAGATAGATAGATAGATAGATAGATAGATAGATAGTAGATAGATAGATAGATAGATAGATAGATAGATAGATAGATAGATAGATAGATACAGATATGATATATAGATAGATAGATATAGATAGATAATATACATTAATATGTAGATATAGAAAATAGTACGACGATATAATGACATTACATTACAATGGATAGATAAACTATACATTATATATACATATATGAGATATTAATAATATGATATATATATATTATATATTAATATAATATAATAGGATATATTTATACTATATATAATATATTTTATATATTTATATAAATATAACTATATTTTATATATATATTTGATTTATATGTAGATAAATATCTCCATATATCTATATGTATTTAAATATCTCCATATATCTAACATCTATCTATCACTATCTATCTTATCTATCTATCTATATTACAATAGAATAAATACATATATATACTAGGTTATATATATATATATATATATATATATATATATAATATAATATTATATATATATATAATATATATACGTACATTATATTATATAAATATATATATAGTATATATATTTTATATATATACATATCATATATCATACAGTACTATACATATATATACATATATAATACAATAAACATATGACATACACATCAACACCACACACACACAGCACACACACACACAACAGACACAGACACACACACACACACACACACACACACACCACACACATTACACACACACACACACACACATCACACACACACACACACAACATATATATTATATATATATAATATATATATAATATATATATATAATACATATAATAATATTAATATGTATATATATATATATATATAATATATATATATATACAATGCATAGTCCATGTTGACAAATGTAGAAAAGGTATGAATGAGACTGGTGCTCTTCCAGTCATGGTTCACAGATGGTACATTCCACACTTGTTAATTATGGGAAATAATGCAATGTCCCCTTCCTAAATGCCCATCGAGTCTAATCATCTTTCAAGAGCTTTGTGCACCAAATTTTCCCGTGACGGCATGTTTACGTCCCCCACCCCTCAGCCAAATTTTTTCATACAGATCGTAGGAGTTAACAAAGCCTACATTCTAAATCATTATAGCATAATGTCCTACCTGTTTGAAGAGCACATCTAACATGAGCACAAAACAGGTTAGATTTAGCTCTG